GCTACCAAGATCCCCCATCCAACACTTTTTCTCCGCTCGATTCTGTTGAGAATCGAGCGAAAATTTCTCTTTCCCGTCCCGCCATAACTTGGCGCAAACCATCCTCTCTGTAGCTCCTAACCCACTAACTTTCATCTAAAACTAACTTCGCCGCTGTACTCACCCTACTCCCAAACCCCCACTTCGGCTCTTCCCCTGCCGAAATCCATCATGAAACGCTTAAGTTATGCGTTTCTCTTCTCTCTCTCCAATCGTCTCCGCCATCTCCAATCACAAGCTTTCTTCTTCTAGCTTGTAGTCTACCACCTCCTTGCTAAATCCGACTTCATAGTCGGACTCGCCCGGGGTCAAAACCCCGGAAACGACCTACTCCCCGCCCAAAAGCACTCACGAACGAGCGWGCATCGCGCTTCTTGCCGCRCCCGAACTCTGTAACTCACCATCTCCGTTCCTGAAGGCACCCGACTACATACACCGTCCAGGTAYACMCCTCTGCCCCTGTGCTCCTCGCTCCACCGGGATGCCCCCATTCCGCTATCCCGCAGCCACCTGGTAGTGACCGATCCTTCACACAGTTGGGCAACACTTAGAGCGGTACCGCCCGCCTCAAAGGAAATCTTCAAAGAAGTTGTGCTCTAGGCGGTTCGATTCGCCTTCCGCCCCTACTCCTCCCTTCTGCGCTCCAGTCTTCTGTGCGTGCACCTGGCCCGGTTCGCCGTCCCGGTCCATTTACCGGCTTTTGCCACCCTGCCGGCCCGCTCCCTCGGTAGCTCCCCGTCGCTCTACTTGCGCCAGCGCCCGCCCGGCAGTCAGCCGGCCTGAGGGAAAGTCGGAGGGACCCAGCTACTAGACGGTTCGATTAGTCTTTCGCCCCTATACCTAAGTCCGACGAACGATTTGCACGCCTGTATCGTTGCGAGCCTCCGCCAGAGTTCCTTCTGGCCTCGCTCCACAACCCCAACGCCCGCTGCCGTAGCACTCCGCGTCCTGCCTACAGTCGGAGAGTACCCCTTTTCTGAGTTTCTCAGAAAGCTCGACTTTTCGGCCCCGCCCCCAATTTATGTGTATCATCCTTGCGCAGGGGCCATGTTAATCTTCTCTGTATCGTTCCAATTTTAACGGATATCCCGAAGGACTCAGGCCACAGGCCTGTGCTGTCTTTTGGCGCCCCCAGCGGGCATACTCACACCCGCCCCCTTTAGTAGCAGACAGCGGAATCAAAGCGCGGCCTTGCTACCCTGCCTGAAACGTGGGCCAAAGTGGTGGCGGGCCCGGCGCAATTCTTGATGGCCGTAACAACTTTTTCAAATGAGAGCTTTGAAGCCCGATAACGGGGGAAGGCCCCGCGGGCATACTCACCCCCTAACCTCACACAGCAGGTCGTGGTTGGCGAATGATGCATCCGCCGGTGTTCCCACCACTCAGGTTCCTTCCGTCTCGTGGGCTAATCACCCACCGGCTCGCGTCCACGTTGAACCCCCGGTTCTAAGTGCTTCTCAGGCATTGACATGGTATTGCGTCCCAAATTAGGACGGGGCCGCCAATAGCCGTGGGAAAAAGTAAAAAAATAAAAAAATAAAAATAAATAATAAATAATATCACCAAGCACAACGACCGAGGTCTTGGCCGGCTTTGTGATCAACAACAGAAAAGAATCACGCGCGCCTTAAACCTGCGCGCCCACGCACTCGCTATTATGATCAACCATCCTGTCAGCGTAAATCACAGACGCAGCCACGCCTAACGCTGTATACTTAAACTTTAAGCCAAAACTACTTTCTGTCTCTCGCAAAAACCAGGGCGGATACCCTTGTAAGGGTATTCGCACCGACAACGTGGAGTGCGAACGGGCCTTTGTCACTCTCAAGGAGGCCCTGGCCACGACACCTATTTTGATCAGGCCGGACCCAATGAAGCCATTCATCCTCATCACGGACTGGCAGCCCAAGGCCATCTCCGCTGTTTTGGCACAGAAGGGGAACGACGGGCGCGAACACGTCATCGAGTACGCCTCCTGTACAGTACCCGACGAACGAAGGAACGATTCGGCCCCGCAAGGWGAATGCTACGCGGTGGTTTGGGGAATCCAGCACTTCCATCCATATCTATACGGACATAAGTTTCTCCTTGTTACGGATCACGAGCCGCTATTAGCCCTCAAGAGGCTCACAAATTACACAGGCATGATTGGACGGTGGGAGGTGCGGTTACAGGAGTACGATTTCGACATCATCCATCGGAAGACGGAGAGGCACAGGAACACGGACGGGTTGACACGACTGCATCGTCGAACGAAGGTCGCCAAGGGTGAAGAGATTATCACGTGGAAAGAAGCGGAGCCAACCAACGGACGCCGGTACGGACAGGTGGCAGTTCTCCCACACACCGTGGGATAGGCACGTGGCGATGGGTGATGGAGGTAACCCCAATGCTCCTCTCTCTTCCCTCTCGTTTTCATCTTTTCTCTCCTTACCCGACAAATTTTGTTATTTTTGTAAAGCAATCTCGCGGGTCTACTCGGTTCCTATGCACTCTAGTGGGCATGGGTATGTCGAATGGGTAGACTGTCGACAGTGTGTGGCCAGAGCCCATGGCTCTCGTATCCAATACCGAAGCGGCAATAAGCCTTGGTTGTGCCCCCTGTGTCGGACCGATAAAATCCCGACCGAGGCTCGATTTCTTGACGCTCCGTCAGAAGGGATAGAAAAAACTCAAAGGTTTAGAAGAACGGAGGTTTGGACCTACGTCGCCCTGATAGCGACCGTAGTGGGGAACCCCCTCCGAGACTTTACTAGGGAGGACCGGAGGAGGGCCAATGAAAGGGTCCAGGATTATCGATGGAACGAGGGACGGTTGGAAAAACGAAAGACGGACGGTAGTGGGATTTGGATGATTGTACCACACCCGTTCATGAGGTATGACAGGGTTAAGTCAACCCACGAGGATACCGCATCCCTTGTAAGGGTATTCGCACCGACAGCTTACCGGACCATATTAAGCGACGTCCCCGTCGCTTCGCCAAATCAGAAAGTTATAAATTCATCCACATTTCAAATGCTGACGAAACAGGAGTTAATCCGATTAGCCGACAAACACAGGGTAGAGGCCTCCATCAAACCATGCCTTCACAACTATATGCTGCCAGGTTTCTAACCTGGGCCTCTCACCGTCCAGAAATTAGGATACTGGCAGCATAAGTTCCAAAGACCTTCCCAATCGTCCTCTCCCCGGTCCTAGACAACCTTCGGTTTTTTGTTAGGTGTCCCCAGTCCTGGCAAAAACTAGGGACGCGGGCCTTAATCGAGACCTTTGGAAGGCACTCTCGTCTTCCTCCTCAAAAAAATTCTCGCAATCAAATACACGCAAGTATATATCTATACTTAATATTCGCTCAGCTTTTTTTGCAGTCTAGTACAGAAAGGATAGGTCTCCACCTCGGTCCACCATAGCCTGGCTGATCGGACCAGGACCACGGCCGACCGCATTGTTATTTAACGGCAGTGCGTTCATTGGTTACGCAACGATAGGTTTCTTCCTGGTAAGCACTCAATCAAGATTTCCCCCAAAAAATTTCCAATCTTCATTATCCTGCGGAGTAATCTCACTGGTGCGGGCACCCCCCTTAAACTCTTACTCCGCGGTCCCGCAACCAGGTTGCACCGGCTAGCAGCCATCCAATGGGGTTACGCCCTAGAGGTACTAACTTCTTTTCCGTTAGCTTGGCCTTTCTTCAATATGTCTCAGAATTAGCACTAGTGGTTAAACGGGGGCGTCGCAAAACAAAATCACTGGCCCACTACGCGATCACGCAGGGGTCTGAAGGCATTTACCAGCCCTTCCACAATAGGCATGGCATCCTTCGCACGCTCACAAACAAAATCACCGCTAGGTCCACCAGGCCGTGACCCCTGACTTGATCAGAGCCAGCAGCCACCTACTCTGAGACATCTCTTGCCCTGCACTCATTGCGACTTTTTCAAACATTCCAAACAAAAGTGACTCTTTTCGTCAGACTTTATCACCCATTAAACAACTCGTCATGCCATAAATCAGTTTACTCACCTCGGAGGGTGAGTCTTCCAACCATATACCATTCCCATTTTCAAAAGTCCAAGGGGCTCTCATTATAAACAAAACACCCCCTCTTCCAAAAATCACGAGGGGTCTCGCCATAAAACCAAACTTCCCCTCCTCAAAACTCGAGGGGGTCTCATCATAACACACAACATCATAAAACATCCCCTTCCCCAAAAATCCTAGGGGCTCTCATCATAAAACAAAACATCACTGAGGGACCATCTTATGGGTCCTCATCACAACTTAAACAATCAATAATCAACATGGTAAGTTTTTTGAGCCTCCAGGGCTCATAAAAACTTACAACTTTTCACAAACAGGCTGCACTCCCTCCCCTTATACTCTGCCCTATCAGCTGCCCGTGGGCAGGTCGCAGAAGTATACCGATGAGTAGACAGTTTTGCTTACAATCATATTCACTGTACCTATGGCAAAACAAGATGTTTTTCACACGTTGTCCACACAAACTCATCATACATAAGAGTACAACCACACATGTGAGAGTGACAAGTGATCGTCATATATATGAATGGTCCCTGAAATAAAGCCTCATCATAATATACACTCAGGGAATAAAAAGGCCTCACACAAAAAATGTCTTCAAATCATAACTCACTCCACTCAAGCCACACCAAACCCATACTGACAACAACCCCTAGAATACATGTCAAATCTGCCTCTCAAAACCTGTGCGTAGGCCACCTAAATATGTACATGCCTCATCTAAATCACCCTGAACCTCAAGACCCCAGCTCAATAGAAACACTAGAGTTCAGATCTAGACTAATAGCAATCAACAAAAAAAAGGTCCTCCAAGTCTAAAAGGGTATCATACAGACCCTAAGCTGATGCCTCACAAGATACTCGCCCACCTACATAGACAAACCGGCACTATCTCCTCAACTCCTCTTGGTTTTGCCTATATAACTGAGCCCTAAGTCCATCTGCGGACTTCTCTACTATCCTACCTTGTCTATCATACATCTTACCTCCTACCTCTGAGACCTTCCCTGCTGCCTTATCCTCAAGGAACTCGAGACAGTCCAGAGCATGATGCACGTCCCTCTTGCAGTAGAAACATAGCTGATCTACCTTCCTCTTGAACTTCTTCTCCCTGGGCTGAGGAGGTGGCGATGAAGGAGATCTTACCAAGGTACTGACAACCTCCTGCTGCTCTGATCGAGGAGCTGCGGTACTAACGACCTCCTGCTGCTCTGTCCCAAGAACCGGTCCCCCAGACCCAGATCTAGTAGCCCAAGATCCCAGTCTGCTTCTCAAATCCCTTGTCGCTGGGACGTACTCAGGCATGTCCAACCTCTGAGGTCTCCTCTCAAGTGTCTCTCCTGGCACTGTCGTGGGCTGCTCCTCAATGTCCTCTGGTCCATACTCAGGTGTGCCCATCCTCTGGAGCCTGCTCTCGATGGCACCCTCCGCCTCAATCCCCATCTCTTTCTCAAGCGGCTCTTCTATCCTCTGCTCGGGTGAAAACAAACTCACCTCCTCCTGCATGGTATGCACTGCCTCAAGGAGTACGCCCATGGATCCCTCTGCTGACCCCTGAGCCGGCTCACTGCTAGATGACGGTAGCCCCTCCTCAATCGCCAAAGGTACACCTGGGTCTGTCGCTGCCACCGACAGCGTCGCGAGCTCAGTAGGGGCTCTAAACTCGAACGCCTCTCTCTCTGCTTGTCTCTGGGCTCTCGCCTCCTCTGGCTCCAGGATAACTCTTCCCATAGGTGGCTCCTGGCGAGGCTCTGCCACAGATGGTTGTCCTGGCAATCCCTGTCCGGGCTGCCTCTGCTCTCCCTGCCTGCTGCTCTTTGGCTTGTCCACCTTTCCCTGGGTTTGCTGCCTCAGGCTCTCAATGATAGCTGCCTGGCTGGCCACCAATGCCCTGAGTTCCTGGATTTCCATCTCCATAGCCTCCAGGCGTACTCCATGGCTTGCTTCCTTCCTTTTTTTCCCTGCCAGATCGCTCTCCAATAACAAGTGCCGGTCAAAAGTGGTCTTGGCCAGGAACTTGATTTTACGATCTAACCTCTCTTCCGCCTTCCTGGCCACCCCAAACCCAGCTCTGACTGGCGATGGAAGCTCCTCTCCTCTCTGCTCCCAGAAGTCCCTCCACATCTCAGGGATCTCCGGGGTCCTAGCTGGCGTGCTGGGTGGCTGACCTGGGAGTGTTCCTGCTGCCTCCGATCTCTGCCTCTCCTGCTGCTGCTCCGGAAGCTCGCCCGTTGCCTCAACCTCTGCCTCTCCTGCCATATCTCATCTATCCGCCTGGTTCTTCTCGCCCTCTTTTCTTCAGTCGTCTCTCCAGCTAGCGCCCTTTCCCTCGTGCGGAGGTCGACCCTCTTTGGGATCTCTGCTTCCATCTCCTTCTCAGGCTAGCACGGCTCCTGGCGAGGCTCTGCAGGTGCTGGCCCCTCCAGGTCTGGGTGCTCCAGGGCATGAGCTGCTAGGTGTCTGTCAATCAGGATTAAGGCTTCTCTCCTTACAACTGCCCTCGCTCTCCTCGTTTCTGCCTTATTTTCTGACGAAGGAGCCTTTCCTGATGAAGGTAATGGGACCTCCTCACTCTGCAACCTCTCCTCTGCCTGTCGGATGCTCCCTGGTGCATCCCCAAGTCTCAAACCCACTGCTGGCGTCTGTGGGGGTGTGTCCTCTCCAACCTCTATCACTTCCTTCCCTGCACGTCTCCCCTCATCGCCCAGCTCTCTCTCTCGCTGAGTACCCTGGACCTCCTCCCGTGGCACCTCCTCCTGTGGCACCTCCTGCTGTGGCACCTCCTCTGCCTGCTCTCCATGCTCCTCGCCCTGAGGCGACGCTCTCCACTGAGAGATATCCAAATGCGTCTCCAATTCCCTCAAGGGCCCCTCAGATGCTGGCGGCTCCTCTTGCGTGCGTGCTGGCGATCTCCTCAATCCACCCTCAGTAAAACGATGGAACTCCACTGGTCCCAACCTACACTCAGGGCACACCCCTCGCTCCTCAGCCTCTGACTCCTGCTCTGGCTCCTCCTCTCTCCTGGCTAGGGCCTTCCGTCCTCCTCGAGACGGTCTCGCCTCCCTGGGCTTAGGGTCCCTTTGCCTCTGACTCCTCGGACGCCTCTCAACTCTGGGCTGAGGGGGCTCTGGCCGTCGAAAGGCCTCTCTCAGATGTGCCCTGCAGCTCTCCCAGTCCCGGGCCATGTCTCTGATTTGGCTAGCCAGTGGCCTTTCCGCCTTCCTGGTCCAGAGTGGTAGCGTCTGCATCCAATCATCACTCGGTATGCCCTGCCCCTGCATGAACCACTCAAATGCGGGGATGAAGTCCGACGCATTTCCAATCTCCAGGCGGATCAGCCTGCCATCTGGTCCCACAGGCGAGGGTCGCAACTCCTCCATCCTCATCTCTACCTCCTGCCTTGTCGTCGCTTCCCTACGAATCCTGGCAATGGGCTCCTCGAACCTGCCTGCTCCCCTCAATCTCTCAATCGCCTGAGCCACGGTCCAGCCCATACGCCTCGCATGCTCCCAGAAACTGTCCAGGAATAGCTCGATGTCCCCATCATTGTAGACCGGAGTACTCTCTCGATGGCGAGGCCCATGATGCTCAAATCCTCCTGATGCGCCCAACGGCCTCTGAGGCGGTCGTGTCCCCTTCCCTCCTCTTGGCGTGGCTGTCTTCGTAAAGTCAGACCTGCACAATAGGTGAAGGAGACAACAGACATACATTGGGGTAAGCAAAACAGGTGATAATCAAAGCAAGCTCAGACCAGGCCATACTCATGCAGCATGCATCCTACCTAACCTTACACACCCTATTACTTCTATTCCAAAGGCAGTCAGGTCACCTCTCTTACCTCTTCTYTCGCCACAAATTTCTTYAGTCGCRTTCYAGATACCCAATCCTTCCACTCAGTCTCATTTAACTCCTCAATCTGGTACGCTCCGAAATCTCCGACCCGTACGATCCGGTAGGGACCTAACCACCTCTTATCGAGCTTCCTGGACCATTGCTTCTCTAGTGATGAATCGTAGAGAAGCACGACATCCCCAACTGCCAAGGGTACTTTCCTTACCCGCGCAGATTGATCCCATCGAGCCTTATCGTCCATACGGCTTCTCGYCACCTGATCAGATGCCTCCTGGATCCTTTCTTCTATCGCCCCTATCTGCCGCGCCCGAATATCGAGCAACTCTTCAAATGACAGGTTAACTTCCAGATCCTGGCGCCTCCATGTCTTAAGAAAGTTCTCGATAGGGAAGGTGGCGTGTCTTCCATACCACAGTGTCGCCGGTGCGTACTTGGTAGATCTTTTTACTGTAATGTTCTCGACAAAGAACGTCGCCCTTAGGTACCTTGGCCATTGATTAGGCCTACCTTCGGTCCACTTAGCTAGGAGACTCGTAATGGTACTATGTCCTCTCTTTACGGGAGCATTTGCCTAGGGGTGCATGGCCGTGGTGTAGTTGGCTGCCACCCCATACCTTGATAACAGTTCTTGCACCTCCTGACAGGTAAACTCTGATCCCCTGTCCATTACGAATTCCCTGACGAAAGAATAACGCAGGTAATATTCCTCGATGCAGCTTACTAAGACTAACCTGGTCTTGGTGCGAATAGCACGCCCGTCTACGAAACCAGACAGGTTATCGCGCGCATCGAAGATATAATTATAGCCTTGATCCCCAAGCGGCATAAAAAGTAGGTCGAGATGCACTACAGCCCCCACCTCTCGCTTTAGCCTTGGATGCAACGGCTCTCCTTGCCTTAAACGGGATCTCTCCTGGCAAGGTACGCAAGATCGGCAGAATTTCCCGACCATCTTCATCATTTCATCCCAGTAGTACAGCTCACTTATCTTGGCATACGTAGCTTGTACCCCTCGATGCCCTCCCGCAATGCCATCGTGCAACGCTGCTATAACGTCGATCTGACGATTCCTACCGCAGACGACTCTCCTGGGATTTCTCACCTCTCTTCTTACGAAAAGGTGGCCGTCTCGCACTAAATAGCGCTGCAGCATCCTCTGAGCCCTATCGCTTGCATCTCTTAGCCGCATTTCACATGACAGAAGAAGCCCCAGCTCTAGGTAGATCCCGTCGTACTCCTCTGCACGAAAAGTCTCCTTAATCTCCCCTTCCTCGAACTCGTCATCCTGGCTCTTGGGCACTTCGTCCACATTCCCTGTCGGGTTCAACGAGCCTTACTGGTCGAGGCTTTCCTGCAATAATGCGTTAACGAGAAGATATATTCCTCCCATCAGGTCCTCATGCCGTTCTACCTGGCCTGGTCCTTCTTCAATCGATCTCATGTCCTCCACCAGGCTATGCGAGCTGGCCAGCACTAATTCCATCATCCACTGAACGTCCTTACCGCCCCAGGGATCCTCTTCCTCAAAGGGTTTAAGGACTAGCTCATCCCTCCATTCATACCCACTTGGCGTTTGCCAAATAGGATAACCTACACAGCAGGGCACTCGCGGCGACCACTTGTTAATGTGGAGACGAACATCTTCTTCCTGATCTAGAAATCCATCAACTGGGGGATTATTCTCTACCGCCTCCCCTTTCTGTTTATCCCAGTTGATCCTACTCAGCCCGTCCGCCCGGTTCTTACTACCAAGTATCCGTTCCAATTCGAAATTGAACATCCAGATGTACGTCAGCCATCTAGCAACCGTCGGATCCGATGGAACGTAATTCCTTAGAGAGTAGGCCAGGGCGGTCGGATCCACTCTAAAAATAAACCTCCTGCCGAAGATGTAGTTCCAGAAGATTCGCAGACAATGGAGGACGACAAGAGTCTCCCTCTTGAACTGAGAGTAGTTCCTTTCCGTCGTACAGAGAGTCCGACTCTCAAATCGCAAGGGTCTTTCCTTTCGTTCCATGTCTGCCTGAATTAGAACTCCCCCTAAGGCAGTCGGTCCCGCATCCGTTTCGACAATGAAATGTCTCGTCTTTGTGGCGTCATAATCTAGCGCTCCTAACACCAACCCTCCTTCTCGAAATTCCTCCTTCATTTTTTCCACCACCTCTTCTTGTTCTTCACCCCACACCCATTCCTAATCCTGACGGACTAATTTCCTCAGGTATCCAGTCTTAGCGGCAAAGTTCTTGGCGAAGGCCCTCCAAAATCCACACGTACCAAGGAAACTCTTGACATCAGTTATTGAGTGGAACGGAACTGGTCACTCAGTAATCTTGTCCGTCTTCTTCACATCCAGCCTTCGGCCCTTCTCGTTGCAGAGGAACCCCAAAATAGTCGCTTCCCTCATATAGTGTCTGGATTTGACCCCGCTTGCCGTGAGGTTATGCTCCTCGAGCAGGCTCAGGACTTTTTCGAGGTCCTGGATGTGCTCCCAAACAAAGCGCCTTACCCCTGGCGAGACTTCGTCGCTCTCCTTTACTGTCGGCCCCTTCACCGCCAAATCGTCGATGTATGGCTGTGACTGCATAACCCGAATCATGGCCCGTTGGTCCAACCTTGAGGGGCCACGTTCATGTGGATTAATCCTCGCGGCGTGTGCATAGCCGTCACAGGCCTGTCTGGCGGGTAGACTGGAAACTGATCGTATCCTGAGTAAAGGTTTATAAGCAAAATTATAGGCCTTCCAGCACAGGATTCCGACAAAGCATCCGCATTTGGCAGTCCTCCAGCATATCGCACGGTCACCGCATTTAACCTCTGCAGATCTTGCACTCATCGCAGCGTCCGGTTAGGCTTAATGAAGCAAAACCACAGGGACGCATACGGTCCACTAGAATAGTCGGCGACGTTCGTATGTATTTTACCGTCGAGGTAATCCACCACCTTCCTTTCCTCGTCAGGATTGGGGTATCGCGCCCCTCTCATGTTCCAAGGCTGGTGTGGCACGGTGTGGATGCGGATCATAGGTATCTTGTCCGCATCCAGCCTGTCACGCTTCTCGTCACTAAAGGCATAGGCGCGGTGTCTCCTCTTCATCAATTCTACCACCAATGTTCGCTCTTGAGGCAATAAGAAGTCGGGCTCCCCTATAATCAACTCCCCTTCATTCTCTTTGTTGACACGACATGGTCCTGCTAAAGCACTCTCCCTCATTCGCCGTATCAGCCCTCGTTCTCTTTCGTAATATGCTTCCTCGTCTTCTGTGATGAGGACGGGAACCGGGCAGCATTTCTTGTCTACCGTCTTGTACCGCCTTTGGGAACCCTGCTTGAGCCGTCCCCTAAAACAGGCCGACTCACAGATTGCGTTTGCGCTGATGCGGGGTTCCCTCCGCTGCCTAGGAGCTGATATACCAATTCCAACCTTCCTGCCTCGGGGCATTCCAGAACTTGCTCCCTCAAAGCCTGGATGGCATCCAGATCTGCCATCTCATGCACGGCCACCAAGTCCATGGCCTTCCCAATATCTGACAGGCTGAGGGAGAATGCTTTCACCCTCTCTCCTGCTTCGGGCTCTGCCTGGAGCCTCCGGCGCTCTCCTTCCGATTCCTCGATCGTGAACGATCCTGGATTGGGCCGGTTCCTTATACTCCTTGGCCCGGTGTTCCTACAGGTAATTATTTTGTAATTCCCGCAGGCAGGATCGCATAAGAGAAGGATTAGAGTCCCGTCATGTTTGTTGAATATCACGGTCTCCGTCCTGCTTAGGAATGACCTCCCCAGGAGGATTCCGTGATCCATGTCCGGCATGATGAAGAAGCAAGCCCGGACCTTCACCTTTCCAACCTCGATGAGTACATTCGAGGTTGTCCCACAAAAAACGGCCTTGCAGCTGGCTCCGTGCAGAATACCGCAGTCAGAACGGTCTATATCCAGCCCGAATCTGATTGTGTCCGCCTCCCAAATGATGTTCATTTCGGCCCCGGTGTCCACCATTACCGCACACTTGGAGCCCTTCACCACCAAATCCACCGTGCCGCAGGCTACACACTTCCAGTCCATTTTCGTCCCCGRCTCTGCCCACTCAGCCTCCTTGGGCAGGATCGTACCCAGATGGACATTGGGTAYCAGGCGCCGCRACAATCTCCCCTTCAGTTCATYGCGGAGTCGCGGGGCTGACGCTAGGATTTCCTTCAGGGTMATGAGGTCATTATGCCCTTCCAGCAGCCTRTCAATTACTCTCTCTACGTCAAATCCCTCTTCCAACCGAACCACGTATTTCTTMTTTTTGGGTGGTCCGTCACGTATGACTGGCTCGGCCTCTCCCCTGGTTCCCTTTTTCCTCGCCCGCTGCTCCGTTCTCTGATCCTCTTCTCTGCGCAGCCTCTCGTCCTCTTTCTCTTCATCATCATCGTCCTCTACTTCCACAATCTCTTTCCTTCTCCCTGGTTGGGGTTCCCTCCTCGGAGGCTCTTGGCTGGCACTGGCCTTGGCTTGATTCCTCGTTCTTGCTGCCTGTGCCAGCCGGGCCTGCGGAGTGAGGGGTCTCCCCCTCATTCCCGCCTGTCGGCACGATCCCACCACATTTACTCCGGGTCGCCCAGGCGCCGACTCCGGGCCGGAGTCATAGAGGAACACTTTAGGGATGTTAGACCTCCTTCCCTTCACTTCCTCACAGAGGCCCACCAACTTCTGTTGGTACCTCCCCATCTTATCCAGCAAGTCCTCCATCTTCCCAAATAAGACGGACGGAGGCTTCATTCTTTCCTTCTCATCCTCGTCATCTGACTCGATGATTATGGGCTCTTCCGTCTTACTTCCTCCTCGTTGCCCTTGAGCTATTTCCTCATCGCTCCCCCCTTCCTCTACCCCAATCGGTGGTTCCTCTTTTTCCTGCCATAGCCTGAACATGGCAGGGGGTGGCGGCCCAGCTGCCGCTCTTCGCTGGGCTTCAGCCCTCACTCCTCCAAGCCTTCTGTCAATGGCCTCCCCAAACTGATCGTAGATATTCCTATCCATAGTGGAGGAAATCAGTCCACTTCTCTCATCTTCCCGTCTTATATTACAGAACCTTATAGTGTGGCCTTAATGGTCACAATGTTACAGATGGCCGTCCTCCAGTCAAAACGGGGTCTTCCATACCCCTGACTTCTCTGATCCCTCTGGCCTTGATACCCCTGGTCTTGGTACCCCTGGCCTTGGTACCCCTGGCCTTGACTCCCTTGGCCTTGGTACCCCTGGCCTTGACCATTCCATTGCCTTCCTCTTCCGCCGTCATTCCTGCCTCGCCCCCTTCCTCCACCCCTCCCTCCGTTGCCTTGATTGCCCTACCCCTGGTTCCCACCTCCTGCAACACTGCCCTGTGAACTGGGAGCAGGTGACGGTGGCGGGGCCACAGGCTGGGCCTGGGCCGCGGGGTAGATGGGTGGTGGCATACTCGTTTGCGGTCCGGCTACTGGCGGCGGGCTTCCCCATGGCACAATTGCATTGATCACCGGCCAGGGCCACTGTCCGTAGGAGGGCGCCCCACCTTGCGAGGGGCCCGTACTAGATGATGGGGCGGCCACATTTGAAGGGGTTGTTGTCTGGGCCTGAGGCGCCTGCGCTTTTCCTGATCCCTGTCCGCCTTGCGCCAAATTACGCACTTTGCGTTGGACCTTCGTCAGGTGCTGTGGCACCGACTCTTCCTCTTCTCAGAGCTCTTCCTGAACAGCCTCCTCTATCACCGGCTCCTTTCCTTTCACTTTGACAGCCGTCACCACCCTCCTTTGCACCACCGGCTCTGTCGCATACCCTAGTTGTGCCAACACGTCTGTAACAATCCTTGTTACCCCCGGGTCCCAGAAGCAGTCGCATCTCTTTCCTTTTTCTTCTGCCTTTGCAGGCGTACCTGACGTTGCTCCACCTGGTCCAAACACCCAACTTCCACCCCTCTGTCAATGGTGGCCCAAGTGAGCTTAGTGCTATCTCCTCCATGCCTCGTCAACTCGGCGGCCTCCGATGCCGTGAGTAGCCCCAGGAAGATGGCGCATTGTGCTTCCTCCGAAATCCCATGAACCTTCCTCGCTCTCTTCTTAAACTCTTGAACAAAGGCCCTTATTGTCGTAAAATCCTCTTTGTTCATCGCCTCAAGGTCTGCGGTAGTCAATAGCCCGTCTCCCAAGCGGTACTTCCTCTGCATCCCCTCCTTGAACCTCTCCCAGCTACCTTGAGCCGCATCTACGACTTTCTTCACCTCCTGATGGTAGTTGTGGAGGACATACTGAAGGATGCGTTGAACCTTTACAACATCCGACCGCCCGACCAAAGCTTATTCCACCCGATCTAGCCATTCTGAGACTCTTTCCCCATAGAAATGGAAAGTATCGACCTTTGGGACGTTGCTCGGGTTCCTTTCATGTTGGTCGATGGTCGCGATAAGGTCATCGAGTGTCAGGCCCTTCTTGGGAGCAACTGATGCGCCGCCAGTCTCAGGCATCTTGACAGCCTCTTCTTTTTAAGTTCCCTGGCAAAAGAAAACAAGCACATCCCCTTATTCAACATTATAGCTGACCGGTTTATTCCATCCGTCCTACCTAACTCTTACTACGTACCTTTTCCCAATACTACACGTTCACCCTTCATTCCTTCCCTTACTCAGGTAGGTAAATTTTCTTTACCTACACTCAATCGCTCATTATCTTTCCTCACTTTCTCGTCCTTCCTTTATGCCTTTGCTCATTCACTTCTCATACCCGGATGTCGTTCCACCAGGGACAACGGTAGGCTTTCCGTTATCCCCGGCAACGGCGCCACCTGTCGTGCGCATCGGTCCGGCACTGCACCAGGGCAGCGCGGGACCCTCCCGGCCGTGTCACGCAGGAGTTGGTTTTAAATCCTTCGTCGCAATATATGCGGAGCTTCCTTAAGCCGCTCCGGCCGAGTGTGTCAGTCATACCTCTCGCGAGCCCCTACGACAGGATAGGGCCTACGCGAGGCACGACTTACCTACACCTTACGAGAGCTGTCACCTCCCTTCGGTGGGCGTATCCCCGTCGAGCTACGAGCCCACAGTACGAAAGCTAATCAGTTGCAATCGCAGAGGTGGACCAACCGAGGGCGTTTCTCGTTCGTTGTAGCATAGGGGGTACGAGCGGTAATATGCCTTTATCGGACCCGCACGCGAATCGGCATCTTGGGGGGCTGAGGTCCCAAGCGCGACCCGTCATCGGTCGACTAGGACGCATCCCACACACCACGCTCACTCCACTTTACGAATACACATACACACAAAACAACACATATACGAAACGACACAACACAAACAACGCGACAACGCTCCTAGCCCCTCGGTAGCCAACCCATAACTTTCCAATGCGGAAATCGACTAGGCGTCGCGCGTGAGACTCAGTATAAAACCGCGCGGACGCAGGGCTATCGCATATCGACTCGCAATGCAATTGTACGCAAGCAGTCACAATGAAGGCGTACTACGTGGTACCCATTCTCACGAGGTCCCCGTTAATCGCGAAGGCCGCGTTCGACACTCAAGTGTCGGTTGACACGCGCCTTGAGGGTTAATCTCTCGACACTGGACAACTGCCATACACGGTTGAAGACCACACCCTCTTCTGCACACTGTGCAGAGGGGTTGAGTAGACAGCCTTAAGTTGTTGTGGCGGTCGAACATCAAGGGGKTTGACTTTKACGGCTGCCACGGACTATAACGTCCAACTATAAAAATTTCAAAGAGCAAAAGATAAGGAATGGGCCGAAGGTTCCCTGCTTAGTAAACAAAATCATAGCCCTGGGGTACCCTCCCTTTTTCGCGCGGCGTCGGCGGCCTATAACAACCTCAAACATTTGCCAATATGTGTCGGTCCCTTTGTAATCCCATCACTTTTTACACACTAGGGCGGTAATGTCGCGCGCGGGAATATATAAAGTTGCGCAGCCGAGGGCCTACCTCATACCAACCCGCAATGCAGACGTACGCATGCAGTCGCGACGATGGCGTACTATGTAGTACCCATAGTCAAGCGGTCCCTTGTAGATCCGAGTACCGCTTATGACACTCGGGTGTCAGACCCGAAGTGTTGTGAGGGCCTAACCCTTCACGACATTGCACGGCTGAAGGAATAGCTGTGCAGCCGCCGCGGCACCTCCGGCTCTCGGCCTGAGTGTCTTGGTAGGCAAATCAAATAGGCTCTGCGCGAGGGAAAACCCCTCCCCTGCAGAGCCTAGGGCTTAGGGTGTCCTGGACAAGGACCTCGAATCCCGGCCCAGGACCAAACGTCCGACTAAGAAAATCATCACAAAGCAAGAAACCAAAAATAGAAGGAGAGGCTTCCCCTAAGTCCCTCGGCCTCGGCTTCTGAATAGGATTTTTAGTATGGGACTCTTCAACCCATGCAAACATTCATCCCAAGTATACCTATGTATACATATATAAGGGTTAAGTATGTGACGATCACTTTTTCACGGTCTCAYTGGGGTCTCTCACAATAATACGTATATGTGTGAKCRMAGGCAACCAAATCCAKAATCTGATTCAMAKCAAATACCTGCAATCACATCAACGAACCAAATCAACAGCCCACACACTACATGGAGTCAACCCCAACCACATTCGACACTCATATCCCTCGCTTTAGCCATGCGAGCCCCAAAAACCTCTTGTCCAACCAACCTTAATTAAATACTCAGCACCTTTRTTAAATGRCCATTCRATAAAAGTCCRGGTGAAACCTTAATAAAACAACGAAATCTTCAGGGCTAAAGCCTTTTAGGTTGAGTGTGGAGGGAGAGTTGAAATTGAGTCGTAGACCGACGAATCGGCAACCGACCTGTTATCCGTGATAACAGTAAGTGATCCTCAAAAAATCAAGCTGGATCTTGCCCTGAACTTGGATCAAATGATCAAAAGGACCTGAAACATACGGCAGACCAATCCCCAAGCTAAGATCATAAGTGTATGGAATATATAACTTCATAATACATCCTCACTCAAAATCTCCCTATAAGTTAAACTTAAGTCTACTTTTAAACCAAATGCTTAAGCTAACGGTAGACCAACTACAGAATCTTCTCTATTCTGGATGGATTGCTTGAATTGCCACCTGTCAAAATATAGTCTATCTCCTTTAAACTAAAAAAATTTCGGCAGCGCTTCCCGTAGGAAAAGTGTCTTTCCAGAATTTATATAAGCTCAAATATGAAAGCCGAAATAATCTCTAAGTCTGGAAAGTCAAATTCAATCTAACTCTCTGAATTAGTATAAATTTGGGCAGCATTCCCTTTAGAAAGGAAGACTTTCCAGATTGATACTAAGTCAGATACAAAGCAGAAAATAATCTTCTAACTCCTGGAAAGTCAAATTTTATCTAACTCTCTAAATTAGTAGAAATTTGGGCAGCACTCCCTTTAGAAAAGGAGACTTCCCAGATTTATACTAAGTCGGATATGAACTCGAACAACAGCTCGAGCTCAACTTTAGACTGAATTTGACTAACTCCTTTAATTTTGTAGAAAATTTCGGCAACACTCCCTTTAACTAATCCAGACAAACTAGTCATCCCATTCAGTCTCATGCAAATCAAAACACGAATGCAAGTACTCTCACCATCCCAAGTTCACTCTATACAAATAGTTTGTGAATCTTCAAGTTCTTGAATCCTTATACCCATCTTACATAAGACATAGAGCTGGACCATTCGTCATGGAAACAATGCCCAACTTGTCCTTATGATATACACGAACAGGTTGCACAACTACTTCTTTCTTCTTTTGGGCAGATGACTAGGTCATTCGCCATGGAAACAATGCCTAGTCGCCCTGAGTTGTTTAATATCCAAAGTTTTAGTATTTCTCTGACTTTGTTAAAAAGAAAAGACAAATATGGGCAGGAGACTGAGCCATTCACAGTAGAAACAATGTTCAGCTTGCCCCAAACTATTTCCATTTATACTCTGTATTTTTCCTTCTCTCTTCTTAATGATATGGCTTAACGCTGGACCATTCACAGTAGAAACAATGCCCAGCTGCCAGTTCACATGCAAATATACATAAAATACTTTCCTTTATACTTGG